TACATCGGCGTAAACGCGAATAAGCGGGTTCACCGCGCGCAATCTCGTCGCTGCGGTTTCGCGCGCCGCGCGCGTCGTTTTCTGCTAAAGCGTGACCGGCAGGCGTAAAAGTTGTCGTAACGGATGTTCGTACTCGATTTTCGAAACGAGCGAGTTGCGCGCGCGCGCGCGACGCGAGTATATCGAGAAGGCGCGTCGTTAATTTTAATAACGTCCGTCGAAACACGTCGGTAATTAAAACGGTGATATATTGGAGATTGTTGCAATGGTAGCTGGATATACCCCCTCGGTGGTATATTATTGCGCTGCGTTTCTTACGAGGGTAACGAGATATTCCGGTAATAAAATTAAATTGCGCGCGCGGTCGTATTCATCGACGTGTATGTAGCGGGCGCGCGGATGATAACTTGCGCCGGCCATGCATCTCGATTATTATCGCCAACGTCGGTACGTTGTATTCTCTCGATACGGAGGCGAGCCACACCTGAAAGACCTTGACGAGATCAGAGCGATCGACCATCGAGAATATATGCGCGCACTCGCACGCGCACATACGTACGATTACGATAGTAATCTGTTTTCTCTCTCTCTCTCTCTCTGTCTCTTTCTCTATTTCTCTGCGTAAGTCGAAGATCTGACAATCAGACCCTCACGTGCGCTCGTAAGTGCCTTGCAAATCGCTTCTTCCTTCAGCGGCAGCGGATACATCTTTCTTCGAACACGTTCGCCAAGAATTGCCGAGGTACATTTGCACTACTAATTCGCATCATTTATACATTTTTGCTTTCGAAGAGAAAATTGCAATTGCGCAAGTTTATTTCGAGATTTTCTTTTTGCGCGAATTAATTTCTCAAAATTATTCTCGAAGAAAGCAAAGAGCGATTTTTTTTTTTTTTATTACCTAGAAAAAAAAACTAGTTTTGAAAGCTACTCGGCAAGTGAGTTTGTTTTGTAAGTTTTATTTATTATTTCGCTCTCTCCGTGTGGTCTCTCTTTACGTCCTCATTAATGCGAGAGACGATCCCTCGAATTCCGAAGGTCTTTGAAGAGGAAAGTGTGTATTTTCTAACGCGATCTCTCTGCCAGAGAACGGGCGCAAGAAGCGGGACGAACGTAAAATACTTAGGCGCGTCACGGGGAGAAAAATGAGGCCCAACGTAGAAAAACACTCCGACGACCTGTTTGCCGGGTCGTAGTAGGCAGACGGAAATATCATTGCCACGCTCCCGGCAAAAAAAAAAAAAAAAGAGAAACAGGGGATCGCTTTTTCTATCCGGTCGAAGAGAAGCACCGGGGTGAAGAGAATTGTCGGGGGGGGGGGGAGAAAAAGAGGAAGGAGCACAGACACATGGCGCTACGCAAACGCCATACCGACGCCGTAAACTGTCAGCAATACGACTCGCATCTCGGTGGCGAGAGGAAGACTCGTCCTCCTTCTTCTTCTTTTTCCATCCTTCTCTACGTTTTTTTTCTTTTGTTCCTTTTCTTCTCTTCGTGCGTTTTAGCGTTTAATTCTTTCGCACGATGACCCATATGGCCGCCAAACATATATTCGCGCTATGTCGCGCGACGCGAAGTCTCTTGCGTCGGAGAACTCGCAAACCGGAAGTGGTAACTCGTAAAGTAAAAAACAAATTAACGTCGTTTGTATCTTTTTCTGTGTTTTACGTGAAACGATAAGTTTTTTAGTAAATGAGGAAACATTGACTGTGCGCGTCATGTTTATGTGTTTTAGAGAAACGCGAGGGAGGGGGGGGGGATGGAAGTAACGATATTCTTCTCCTCTGCGCTCTTCTCACACTTGTCGGTCGCGCGAGCGATGTATTTGTTGAGCGCGTCGCATTACGTTCTCAGGACGTTAAACTTAACGACGTATCATGGGACCATTACCTTATCAATGAACCACCACCCTTGAAGTGCGAGGGAGCACAAAAATAAACCAATGCCCTCTCCGTGAGAACCCACTCACCTTTTCCCGTGCTCTCTTTCTCGTCCGCTTCTACTTTCGTTCTTCCTTTCGTTCGCTTTCTCATTCCCCTTTGCACTCGATAGCTTCGTTAAAAGCAAAGCTGGTGGTGCGATACACATGGTACCAATCGTCGTTGTCACTCAAGGACAGCTGACAAAAAACGAGGTCTCTGTTTTACATGCTCGAGAGCGCGCATAAAGTTTATTATTACGCACTGTAAAAGCAAGCGCGGTTTATTACGCGACGGTCCGGTTAATGGAGATCTTACGCGTGGGAATTTTTCGTTCGCAATTGAAAACGTGAAAACAAATTTGTTTGCGACCGCGCGCGGAAGAAAGAATCGATTTCGGAACGTATTTGACTTTTTACCGATACTTGATCAATAAACTAAACTCAAAAGATAATGAAAGTTACAATTAACACAAGAAGATGAACGCAAAATAATTAATTAACAATAAAAAACAAAATCCTTTCTAGTTGAAAGTGCAAGATATTTCTTCGCGGAAAAAAAAGATTTGCTAGAATAGCGAGAAATTAGTTACTATATGGCCAGCAAAAATACATTTGTTAAGTTTAGTCAAATTTTTGTTTTTCCAACAAAACATTTTGTTGATGAAACAAAAAATTTTGTAGGGTCAACCATTTTTTTGCTGACCATATAATAGCAAAACTTTTTTTTTCCGTGTTCGTATTCGCTTCGACGAGGTGGATATCGCGATTTGCGGTACGCGCGCCGCGCGTATTACAAGCGACGACACTTTTCTACTTTAGTGTATACGCACGTGCGTGGCTACGTGTACGGAGCAACACGACCGCGATCACCTATGGCGTTACCGCAGATCGCGTGTTAAAAAAGCCAACGGCCTGTCTACGGTGCGTACACGTAGCTTCTTTCAAAACACGCTCGCTGTCGCAATCATCGGCGACGGGGCACTCGCATTTTACGATCGTGTCGACCACACGAGCCACCGAGTGTTACGTTTCAAAAGCCGCAGGACACACGTCGTCGTCCTCTTCTCACGGGAACACGTCGCGGTTTTCGTTCTCTCTACTTTTGGATTCTGCTCCGAATTCGCGAACTTTCTCCAAACATCACGATTTTATTTAAGAGTCTAATAACTCATACAATTGTTTTATTTAAATTGTATTTAAAAGTTTTCAGACGATTAAATTTTATTAATTTGGTAGTTTATGTTGAAAATATATTAAATGTAAAAAAAAACACAGAATAAATATTTGTTTTAAATTCTTTATCATGTCACTGTGACTAGACGGAATTTATCGACGGATTATTGATTATCCGACAGCAATTCGATATCCCCGTGAGGGGTAGTTATTTGCCACCGTGTTCGTAAACAGCATCCGCGAAACCCTCTAGCCCGCAGTCACATTATCCACGTGGGAAGTTGCGCTCGGTCTTGCCGCCACTTCGTTCACAAAAGCGCGTTTTCTTTTACCCCCATGACCTCTCGTCTCGAAACACCGAACGATGCCGATCGCGAAGCGAACATTTTCCTCCCCGTAGCTTCCGCATTCCTCACCCACGCGCGCATAATTAAACGCACGTGCGTCCTTTCGCAATATATATATGCTTCTTACAATGCAAAACAAGCGCGATCGAATCGCAAACAGCTTCCTACTCTTTCGACTTCCTTCTCTCTCGTTAATTGATCGCGTCCGTCGACCCTTAATTATTCGACGAACCGCCATTGACCTCTTCCCTTCGGAGCACCAACAACTCCCTCGAAACAATCGGCATCAACAATCGGTTTACCGTCCCGGCGACGCTCCCGATCTTAATGGATGCTAATTCGACGACGACGGTGCCGCCGACTGGCGTTTCTTAATTAGCGGTTTGCCGGCGTAATCAGCCTCCCGGACTAATTACACGCCACTAGACCGAGAAAAAAAAAGAGAGAGTGAGAGGGACAATATTTCCTTTCCTATTACTCACGTCGATTACCACACTTTCTCGGGTTCGGTGGTCGGTTTTTCTGAACTTTGGTCCTCAAGACGCAAGGACGCGGTTAACTGAATGGGTATCCGAAGAAGTTTTTCGAGAAGGAGAACGAGAGAAGTGGAGGAGAGAGAACGGGGGGAGACGAAAGATCTCCGAAGTCCATTAACATTCGGCGCGGCAAATTACAAGCCGAGACACTAATGGAACCGGCACGAGTGGTTGGGCGGTCCACCGAGCATTGATGGTGGGTGGTGATCTCTCGGTTTTCGAACAGCCGCGTTTCTCTTTCTCTCTGTCTCCGTTCGCCATCGTACCGCGGGCGCAGGGCCAACTTCCAGATGAGTTTTCGTGATACTGCGCAACTCAGCCGAGGACTCACTTCCTCGAAGAGGAGTCTCTTCTTTGGGACCCGTTTATTCACCGTGACCGACGTCATCTGCGACGACTTGTTGCTCGCGGCAACGAGGGATCTTCGAATCCCATCATTTAAAGCAAATTTTAGATTACCGGTTTTATTTTACGTAAGCTATAAATAGAATTTTATTTACGTATTTCGAGTAAAATTAATTTCTTTACGCAATATTTAATATAATATTTGAATCGCGAACAAGAGTGTTTCTTCAACAACAAGTTGAAGAATTTGTTTTTCATTGATTTCCGAAACTGTCAAGTTCGCGCGAGGTCGACAACAGCCGACTCTCTCTCTCTTTCTCACTTTTGTCTTCTCTTGCTAACAGAATAAATAAACACAGTAAGGCTTTCCTCGCGGAACGCTATTCATTTTTCATGGTTTCTCTTATGAATATCATAGTCCGATCTTATATTTAAGATCGTTTTAAGTTCATCTCAAGATCATCTTAAACAGATCAAGATCGAACCAAATAGGTCTAGAAATAAATTCAAGAGAACGCGGTTTGATAGAGAAAAAGTCACTAGAACTCAGACCAATCGCATTTGATCGTTCGAACCTATTGTTAATTTCAGTAGTGAAATGTGCGACAAGCAGCATTGTAGATTCGCCTCAAATAAGACGTTACGATCGTCATACATGCGCATTCTGTGTTCGATCATAAACGAGATCACTCAACCTGTGTGCGAGGTGAATATAACCTTGGATATATTTTATCTTTGAAGATAAAATCTTACAAGTGAGATCGTACGTATCCGGAAAATTTGATGAATAAAATATAAAAAGATGGAATTTGCAGGTGTTAGTTTCGTTAACACTCTTCCCGCTAACAATGAACAAAATCGGTAAGCATAAATTGTTAACAGATCGCGAACAGATTGGCTACAATCGTTTCGAACGAAATACCGAAGTCATTTGAGTCAAAACAAACAGGTGTGTTATAAACAGATCCGCGCGTTATTAAAGCTAACGTTCCGCTAATATTATTCTCGATAAGTGTTGATGCCAAATTTTGATCTGCTCGGAATTTGGTAGCAATTTCAAGTCAGCTGACTCACGAAAACCGGTTGTTGTTTTGTTCCTTTCTGTTTGCAATTCAGTTGAAAATCTTGGAAATAACAATCGCGGATAATTAACGAGATCTGTTGTTGTTGAACAGAGAAAGTGACATGAGAACGAGAAGATGCTTCTTATGCAAGGATAAAGTAACAAAGATGGCCGAAAAAGAAAGTTCGCTCACAAAAGCGTTATGTCTGTACTTTAAACTTACATATGGTATGGCCTTCTGCACATTTTGTGAAACTGATTTTCGATATCGTGATTCTAGAGATCTTCCGATACACTTTAAAGCTCACTGTTGACGAAAGGAATATGAAGACAGATGACGAAAACTAAGTGTAAGTGGACGGGAAAATGGCAAGAGGTTTTTGCGAATATTATTTTTTTCTCTTATATATGTATAATCTCACTTTGTTACGCGTGCAAAAATAAAAAAAATAAAAAATGTGTGAAGCACATAGATTTTAAAAACGCTAGATTTTATAATATTTGTTTAAAAATTTGTTTTACTTTGTCTAATATGTCTAATATGTATACAATATTTTTTTGTACGCACAGGTTAACAATCAGATCAAATACAAAAGACGCATTTATATCTTACAATATAAATAAGTCAATGGAATACCTTTTTTTTATAAACAAAATAAATTTGTACTTGTTATAAAATAAATTACTTTGACATGGAGGACACAGAAAATAGTTGAGAATGTTTTTGCATATCGCTGACATCCTGGAAGAAGTTCGACCGCGAGAAGATATATAATAATTTGTTCATCAAAACTCTCGTAGTTCAATAATTCGTAGATCTTTAACATCGACTTGATTCACATCGAGGATGCGAATGTAGGATACAATTTATCTCTTTTCGATGTGGTAAACGTTCGCGTAAGTTATTTCTTGCGCGAATCGCCCGGAGCGGCGAGATCACGTAGCGAGCGACATTGAGTGATCGATCATTCGTCGCCGAAAGATCGTCCCGGGTCTCTCTCGCCCACATGAAACGATCGCCGGCGGTCCGGCGCTTTTCGACGAGTGTGCAATTGTGCTCGTGTTCGAAGACGAGCGGAAAAAGCGGCGGCCGATCTTCTCGGCGCTCGCAAAAACGGGCGATCGCGGTCCGGCCGAGTCGTTAATGCGACCGACGAAGCGTGTTGCTCTCCTAACAGCCACCAATAACAGCTGTCTTTTACCCCTTTTCCTCTCTCGCGCGCAAGTACTTTCCTCCTTCTCCATCTCTTCCCTCTTCGTTGTTCCTTCCATCCTTTCGCTTCCTTTCCGCTTCTTCTTTCGTTCGCCGAAGTAATTCGAACTCGTGCCGAAAGAAGCTCGGGAATTCATCGCGGCCCTTCGAGAAGTCGGTCGGTTCCGGTCCGAAATTCGATAATCACCCGGCGGCCAATATAATAAGCGATACCTTTATCTTTCGTCGCTTCGCTTCGATTTTTTTTTTTTTTTTTTGGTCGTCCGGGGATCATATTTTTCGACACTTGGGAAGACGTTCACCCGCGGACGATGAAGATGTTGTATTCTTGACATACAAAACGCTGTTACAGAAAGTTTAGATAGCAACGTCTTATTTTTTGTTCAATTAAAAAAAAGATAGAAATTTATTTTCGACATATTTCCGTCGACGTTTAGTTATTGATCACTGAGGAGAAACGCGAAAAAAAGATTACAATGTACGAGCGAGGCGTATGTCCGTCTGGTGCTGACGGGAGTGATAATTAACGACGATCTCTCACAGATCTCGTTACGGACCGCTCGATCCTCATTCGTTTACAGAAAAATTATCCTCTTAAACGGCGATGGCTCACATTTCTCGACATCCGGTAATCATCCATCTCGACGAAAGAAAAGTACGACGTGCGCACTTTTAGAGACGCGCGTGTTACCTCGAAGATTTTATATATATATATATATAAGAATTCACGTTTAAGATTACCGTTTTAATCTCGCGAGTAATATTTAATCGTGTAAAAGATTTTGTCGACACATTTTCGACAATTATGTCATTCACATTTCTCGCTTGCAATTAATTCAAGCCTCTCGGGGGACCCGTGCCTTTCTTCGCGATTTCCAAGAACAATTCGACGTGTATCGTTTGTGGGACTCGCCGATCAGCAACTTATCGCGTCGCTCTCTCGAAGTCCGATCAAACCGAGATGGAAGAAGAGAGGCAGGGATGAGACGCTACTCCTTCTTCTTCTCCTTCTGATTCGAGATGCTCGAGCTCGTTTTGCTCACGCTTCGCTTTCCGTTCCGTCTGGGATTGCCGGGTTATTACCGGCTAAGTGGACGATACGTAATGACACCGGAGGCTGCCATTTTAGTGCTAAGTGCCGCGTATTATCGGCGGGGGATGACGGTAGTCGCTTTTATATTTTTTCTCTTTTCTCCCTCCCACCCCTATATTTCTCTCTTCTCGTCTTTTTTATTTTATTCTTTTCTCTTATCTTTCGTCCTGATTTTTCACGAAGTTGCGATTTTTGTTAATAATAAAAACTAAAAAAAATATTCTTTTTTTGTTCTCTGAGAAAAAAACACTTCCACTTGTTACGACAGATGGTGAGAAATTTATTATTTACGCCGCGATTCGGTATCGCGTTTCTCGTCAATTAAACTTCGAGAACGGGTAAAGACTTACCACCGAAGTATCGCGCGATCAGATGCCCGTTTAGATGGCGAAGTCGCGAGGAGAACGCGCACACGGTCATTTATCATGCCTTGCTGCAAAGGGGGAGACAGGAGGCAAGGACCGCGCAGGCGAGAGAACGCCTCGGATTTACGAGGCAATTTCGGCCGGCGATCCGTTAATTTCCGGATGATACCGCGTCGATAATTTCGCGGAAATCTTGGCTATCGATCTTACGCGCAAACGTGTGCGTATGTGGCGTGTCTGCGAACACGTGTGCGGTGTATCTCGACGATCCGTCTTTATTAATTTTTGCATCTCGATGATACGTTCGTTCCTCGCGAAGATCGGAAAGATCTTGAGTTCTTGCCTTATTCAATTAATTGGAGAACAATTACGCGCTTTTCTCTCAAACCGCCGAGTAAATTAAATGCGATCGATGTGTCATTGAATAAAACTTTGCTGCTTTAGATAACGCGTCGTTTCAACTAGTCCAAAGTGAAAGTGTTAGAAATGAATGAATTATAAGTTTTAGCGTAATCCAAACTCGCTAGGAACGCGGCGTGTTTGCTAATTTGTCGTGTGAACGAATTAAGAACTTCGTTCGCGAACTAGGAAGAGACCGCGGAAATTGGCATGGAACCAGTAGGAACTTCGCACTCCCACGTTCTCGATCGCACATGGCGCGTACGATTATTTCAATAATCTTCATTATGCGAAACGAGGCTAAAACTGTGACGTAAGACACCCTCAGTTTCCGTTTGTATTAGATACGTCAACATTTTCTAATATATATTTTATTCGAGCTTTGTATAATAAACCGCGCACTCTTAAATGTGCAAATCATCGGCGCGACTCGAAAGTGCCTACAATCAGCTTGAACATTTTATTTACCGATCGAATTTTCCGTGTTTTTCCACTCACTTAGGATGCATCTTAATATGCTCCATATCTGCCAACGGAGACGTATTCTGCCGGTTTGTTTGAGTTATCAGTTAGCGTCGTGAAGAGAGAAGTTGTCTAGTCGGCTCGGAAGATGAGCCACAACAAAGCACGTTAGTGACAATACAGTCGTATTTTCGTATTATTTATGAAACTCGACGAATACTCGTTTATAAATATATAAAATATATATATATATTTATCAAGTCTCACATACTTAACCTTTAGACCGCCGGCATTTTTCCCCATTAAAATAGTGTATTTTGTTTCTCAAAGATTTCGTGTATATTAGTAACACACACGTTATGTGGAATCTCGAGGTTTGTATGAAGCCCCAAAAGGAGCTTTTGCGGCGGCCTAAAGGTTAATGACTTAATGATATTACGAAGTTTTCATTACGAGTGTCTGACTTCGTAACATTGTATCGCGATAGTGTGTCACAACGTATCGTTCGCACTCGGTTGAACGCTGAATATTGCGAAATATGCTTTTTTTTTTGGATCGTATATATATTCTCGCGAACACGTGTAACACGCACGCACGCACGCACGCACTCACGCACGCACGCACGCACATGCGCTTCGCCTCTCGGTAAGACAAATCGTTCGTTTACGAGCGTCGACTTTAAAATGGCGCTTAAATAACTCGGTAATTGATGACCGTCGCAATTAGCAAACGCAGCCGTCTCTCTTGCGTGGAAAATAAAACGTTTTCGTTCATAAACGTGCGAAATTGCGTGTGCGCGTCTCTGGTACGCGCGACAATCTTATCTCGAATCGCGCGCGCTCGATCCTTTTCCCGCGTTCGGGACTAAACACCGACGAGCTGGTCTGAGTAATTTACGATCACTCGTATCCGTAATTGCGCAAACGACGAATATTGCTTTCAGAAGAAGAAGCTTCGCGGATTGAAAGAAAAAACGCGCGCGCGCAATCCTTATAACCACGGGATAGGAGAAGCCACACCGATATGAATTGATAATTTGCATAACACGAATCTAATCTCTCGTGGCTCCTCGCTCGTACGTACTTATCTACGGCGCTTACAAGAGGGATACTTATCTGTACGTATTCGCAAGATTATCCAGCCCCGTGAGATACATCCGTGTGTAACGTTCATCGATAATTGCGATCTTGCGCGCGATGTTCTGATTACGTTATCGGTTTTGCAGACACCGCGCTGTACCGTGTTAACGCGTGTTTCTAATTGATTTTTTTATTTTTTTTTACGTTGTGCGATGATTGAGACGCCAGTACGCGTATAAAAATATTTTATGTAAAAATAATCGAAATCCGTTATACAGAGACACGCATGCTCGCGCCGCGTCGTGTGCTTTTTCACGCGTCGCTTCCGATCATAGCGCGTTTGATCATATCTCTCTGATTTCAGTTTCTTCTAACGTTCGCGTTGATTTCGTTTCAAGTGGTTTTTGTTCATTTGGAGTATCATATGTGTGGAAGTCAATAAATCCAAATAGCAACTCCCTAACCGGTAGTCGAGAAGAAAACTTGCTGCCGCGTACGAGTAATGGTTGTGGAATCATCGCCGCTTCCGTTTATAGCGAGACTGCGAGTCTGCGAGCGATCGCGCGATGGAAAACGGTAAAAGAAGTCGAGATAAAGCCTCTTCGATTTAATGGGTTGTGCGCGCACGCACGCACGCACGCACACGTTGCTCAAATCGCACGTGTGTGTACTCTCGATCTTGCGGGTAATTGAGCCGCGGATGATTAGGATTCTGCGGTGGATTAGGTTTTTCCGACAATAATTTTCAGCGAGGGGGGAAAAAAAATAAATGCGGGTCAATGCCATTGATGTGTCATAAATTCAAGAGCAACGAGCGAACTCATTTCGTAAACATCCCGCAATTTGTCCCGCGCTGTAAGAAGATAATGAAGGTTCTGGATCGAGAGAGAATGTGTGCACGCGGAGGTCGTGTGCGATGGTTCTGTGTGCGAGATCGTCGTAAAGAACGGCGACTGGGAAAAATCGTTTACGGTCGGAGTAAGAAGACGCGGGTTTACCTTAAGGATATACGAAGTTC